TCACTTCTGTCAATTTTGTTATGCTGCAGCCTGAGTCTACAGTTGTTGAAAGTCAGTTTTTTTTATCATTAATCTACACTCAGTACCCCATAAGTGAAAACAGAATTTTAAAAATGTCTGTAAATTTATTAAAAAGAAAAAACTGAAATATCCCATTGGCATAAGTATTCAGAACCTTTGTGACATCAGGTGAAATTTAGCTCAGGTGCCTCCCATTTCTCTTGATCGGTCTGACATCTTGACTGAAGTCCACCTGTGGTAAATTAAATTGATTGGACATTATTTGGAAAGGCACATATCTCTCTATAGAAGGCCTCACAGCTGACAATGTGTATTGTAGCAGAGCAAAAGCCATGAGGTCAAAGGAACTGCCTGCAGAGCTCAGATACAGGATTACTGCAAGGCATAGATCTGGGGAAGGCTACAATAAAATTTCTGCTGCACTGAAGATTTCTAAGAGCACAGTGGCCTCTATAATTCTCAAATGGAAGAAGTTTGGCACACAACCAGGACTCTTCCAAGAGTTGATCACCCAGTTAAACTGAGCAATTGAGGGAAAAGGGCCTTAGTAAGGGAGGTGATCAAGAACTCGATGGTCATTTTGACTGAGCTCCAGAGATCCTGTGTGGAGATGGGCAGATTTCCAGTAGGTCAACCATCCCTGCGGGCTTTATGGCAGAGCGGCTAGACAGAAGCCTCTCCTCAGTGCAAAACACATGACAGCCCACTTGGAGTTTGCAAAAAAGCATCGGAAGGACTCTCAGACAGTGAGGAACAAGATTCTCTGGTCTGATGAAACCAAAATTAAACTGTTTGGCCTCAATTCTAAACATTATGTCTGGAGGAAACCAGGCACCGCTTATCACCTGCCCAATATCATCCCAATAGTGAACCATGGTGGTAGCAGTGGGAATGTTTTTCAGCAGCAGGGACTAGGAGACTGGTCAAGGTTGAGGGAAAGCTGAATGAAGCAATGTACAGGGTTATCCTCAATGAAAGCCTGTTCCACAGTGCTCAGGACCTCAGACTGGACCGAAGGTTTACTTCCCAACATGACAATGATCTTAAGTACATAGCCAAGACAATACAGGAATTGCTTAGGGACAACTTTGTGAATGTCCTAGAGTGGCCCAGCCAGAGCCCTGACTTGAACCCAATTGACCATCTCTGGAGGGACCTGAAAATGGCTGTCCACCGATGGTTGCCATCCAACCTGACTGAGCTTGAGAGGATTTGCAAGGAAGAACGGCAGAAAATTTCCCAACCCAGATGTGCAAAGCTTGTCGCATGATACCCAAAAAGACTCAAGGCTGTAATTGCTGTTAAGGTGCTTCAACAAAACACTCAGTGAAGGGTCTGAATACTTATGCCAATATGATATTTCAGTTTTTTTCTTTTTAATAAATACACAGACATTTTTAAATTTTGTTTTCACTTTGTCATTATGGGGCATTGAATGTAGATTAAAAGAAAAAAATGAATTTCAATAACTGTAGAATCAGCTGCAGCATAACAAAATTGACAAAAGTGAAGGGAGTCTGAATACTTTCTGAAATGCACTGTATATTGCCAACCCCTGTGACAATGAGTGGAGCCTTGGAATGTGTTTGCACTGATTTTATTTTTACTATAGTTTATTGAACAGGAGACAACGACTGAGTTCACAAACTGAATAAAGCCACAAGTCTTAGCTTGGAAATCACAATGAGTGTCATACATCAACCATTACAAATAAAGTTTAACACAAGGTAGAGATCAAGATGTACTTCTTTAAAAAGTACAAAATGATCACACTGACTAACACGGTAATGACTGCATAGCTCTGGCTGCAACATGCCAAACCAAGTAGTAAGAAGAACCTAGAAGTAAGGAGAAATTTTATGACAGTGAGAACAATTAATCAGTGGAATAACTCGCCTCCTGGAGTTGTGGGTGCTCCATCACTGGAGGTTTTCGAAAATAGACTGGACAACCATTTGACCAGGCTGGTGTAAAGTCTCCTGCCTTGAGCAGGGGGTTGGACTAGAAGACCTCTGAGGGTCCATGTTCTATGTCCTATTCATATAAAGAGCAAATTGTATTCTAGCATCCTGAAATTAACCTTTTGGGGACACTGCATAATACTGATTAAGTTTCATAATATCTGCAACTACACCCACAGAAAATTGTCATAGTTTCCTGACACATACCTTATCAAAAAAAAGAACCATTTTTATTCTGCTGTTTGATTGGAAGTGAAAGAGCAAACATTTCAGAAGTAGTTCAAGACGTTTTGCTCCTCACCAGAGCTGTACGGAACTGAATGGATTTGTAGCTGCCATGTATTTCAGCAATAGAAGGAAGCTTATTCTCTATTAAAACATATCCCTAGCATCTGTCATCTGAGGCTTTGAGTTCAACAGGAAACAAAGTCTCTACAAGCATAGGTAACTTCCCATTCGGTATGCATCAAACACCGGAAGAATTGCCCCTCTATACTGTTAGTCTAATATGCATGATAGCTATGCTTTTTTTTCTGGGCTTGTATTTATAAAAGAAAGTATTGATTATAGTTGGCACATATGCAGGATTCTTCATTGAGCATGATCCTACTCCTCCTTGTCAATTACACTGAGTGCAGTAGAAAGGTTCTTCTGTAACAAGCCATTTTCACCTCTTCAAAATAATTGTCACAAAACCACAGGGCACTAAAATTAAACACACAGAGATACATACATATCAACTATTTTTGACCTAGGAATACCAAACAAAGCTTCCTTTTCTCTTCCTTCCCTTCTTCTTTTTTATAATCTTACTCAATATCACTACTCTACCAATGATCTCAAGTCCCAACTAATTGATTAAGCTAACATGTCTCAGATCTGTTTTTATTTCTTCCATATCTTTGGTTTTTAGAGTTGAAGAAAGTGGGCAATCTATCACAAACCAACTTTGTAACTATAAATCCCAAGAGAAGTTCTTATCTTATGTTTCCTTTAGCGGTACATTAATCTCAGAAACAAGAATCAGCAATGCAGATGGCAGCACACAATTGATTTTTGTCTGGGCAGAGAAATTAATTAGGCATCCAATTAGCACATGGAAGGATTATTGAACTGAGGCCTCTGGAGGGAAAATAGTATATGTAAAGGGAAACTGGATGTCATTATTGATTGCAAACGAAACATTAGCCAGCATTGTATGGGAGCTGCTAAAAAAGCAAATATTATTTTGGATATATTAACAGGAATAAAAATCCAGAATATGGGAAGTAATTGTTCTAAGCTGGGTACTCTGTTCCTGGCATCAACGTTCCAGAAAGATATTAATATACTGAAGCAAATTCAGAAGAATGCTATCAAAGGTGGGAGAGAAGGACAGGCAGTAAGGAAACAAAGCCCAGTGAGGAATGATTAAAAAATCTGGTGTGTTTAATCTGCAGGAATGACAACTGAGACAAGAGCAGTTTTTCAAATATCAGAAGGATTGTCATTCAAAGCAAAGAATAACTTGTACAAAAAACCAATGTCCAGAAACCTCTTATTGGAAAATAACTTTATTATCAATTTATATGAGTCATAAATCCTTTTGACTGGGAAGGATTCAACTCGTGCAAAATGCAGCAGTGTGGGCAGTTATATATGTGCTCCAAGGACTGAACATATTATACCTCTGTTTTGCAAGCTAAATTGGTTGCCACTTTGCTTTAGGGTCCAATTAGAGCCATGTATGGCATGGGACCAGGTTATTGGATTAACCATCTCTCCCCAATTACATCATGTCTAGCAGGAGACCATGTTTCGGGTCTCATCAGCCAGGGAATTTTATCATGCGGGACCCCGGAAGAGAGTCTTTTCTGCCATGGCCTCTGTCCTATGGAACATTATTCTGCTGGAGATGACATTGGCCCCAATCCCACTGGTTTTCCAGAAGGCCCTTAAAACCTGATTCTATCACCCAACTCGGGGATCCCTTGGCAGAGAGCTTGCTAGATGGCTGCATGTGATATAGGAAGAAGGCAATTTGTTGGAACATAATTACATGCCACAGCATATTTTTCTAATAACAATGTTTAAAAATGTCACGTTGACATATTTGCTACAGGAAGGGGAAAGGCTGTGAAAAGCAACAAGAACACTTTTCCGAGATCGGTTTTATTAATGTATCATTTTCAGTCATGATATATTCAATAAGTATAATATACACTGTGATACTTATACCATAGGCTAAGTCTAGATCAAGCAAACCATATTAACACAATATAAATACTTACACTAAAACCGATAGGTTTTTTTTGTAATTCTAAGTTAATTCACAACCATCACCATATTTTCCCAATAATTTGTATTAAAGAACAAAACGGGAGAATCAAAGAAGGACACAATCAAATAAAGATACTTTATGAAGTAAGAAGTAGGCTTTCTATTTCTCCTATTACATTAGAGATGTCTTATGTGAAATTGTAAAGAATTCCAAAAGTCATACACAGTAATCCTAGTTCAAAATTCCGAGAGCTGTACCCTTACTTCTGGAAGACACTACACAGAGAGAGAGACTGACCTAGTCTAATCTTTGCCAATGCAAATAATCTACTGCTCTAATTTTTAGTAAACCCCCCTCCCATCTTTATCACCCATTTTTAATTAAAACTCTTACTTTTTTTCCATGCATCTTCATGGTCTATCTGCCATAGTATTCATAGAATTATTAATTATATCACTTTACATTGCTGTTGCCCTGTCAAACTGAGGAAGTATATTCAAGGGCATATTTTTAATTAGGATTTCTTATTGTAAATTAGGTATCCTTCAGAAAGTATTCATGCTTCTTCTGAACAGGATTGTAGCATCTAAGAAACATTCCTCTTACAAATAATACTTTTGTCCTGCTTGCTGGTGGCAGCTAACTAAGAAAAACCCCACATATATTGCAAGCAGATTTTTGGATTAATTTGTACTCTTCCTGACCTTTTTCATTTCTGTAAAACCAAAACAATAGCGCACATAAATGATCTTTTATACCTCTGATGACGCAGATGCCAGAATAACATGTTTCGAACAAGGCAACTAGCATGCACGAATCGAATTCACAGCGTTCGAAGGATTATTTATGAGTAAGTGTGTGTATCAAATTGAAAGCCGCTCAGCCACAAACCGATTAACAGGACTCTTCTGAAATCCGTCATTTAGATAGGCGTGGGTGCGAGCGCCTATCAAAGCTCTTTAACTGCACGGTCACGCAGGCTGGAATCTGAATCCAAAATTTGAGTACAAATTATGAATTCAACTGTATTGGGTTCAGGGTACAATTCAAGGGGTAACGGGATTGCTGGGTTCGATGCAGAATTCAACCCTCTCTGGGTGTTCCCAAGTCGTGAGCGTTTTCATGAATTTCTATTACTCTACTAGCTCAACCCACACACACACATATAGACCGCTTTAAAAAAAACCAAACTATCACTTTGCACAGCATTCCCGATCTGTTACTGTTTTGCACCCCGTTGCTAAACGCTGGAATTTCTTGACTATTTCGTCGATTGCCTCTACTCATCGGCTCCTACCCCACCCATCCGTCGTTAGTATGTTCCCACCCCTTCCGTACCTTTACACCAGAGAGGTCCCTTCCCTCGGTTGCCTCCTAAAAGCTTCGTCTTCCGTGAAACACCGACCGTTTGTAATCCACCCGGTAAAGTCCCAAATTCCAATTCTTGTGCCAGGCGCGAATTCTGCTAAATTACGTATCTTCGGGAACTGCGCCGCGAGGGCGGGAAGAGGAAACGAGGTGTGGGGCAGCGGCGCAGGCTGCTGTCAGAATCACACTGAAATCAGAAGTGAAAGTAAAAAAAAAATTAAGTCAACTTAGAAGAGATGGAGGAAGAGGAAAAAGGAAAGGGCCGGGATAGGCTCGGAGGCTGGGGAGAGGCTCTGATGTAAAGCTTGGCTTTACGGTGCCCTTTCTTCTAGTGAATTTAAGGAATTCGGAAGGAGCGTCTCCTTGATCGGAACGAAAGGCTGGCCATTATTTGTGTCTGCGTATTTCGAACCGAATAATAACCGAACTTGATTAAGGCACATTGCTAGCGCTGGAGCTATTTATATTACCCAGGCTAAACGCTTTGGGATGGTTTGCATTAAAATGTAAAGCTTTTCCAAACCCGAAAACAAAAAGGTTGAAATTAACACACATCTCAGGTTAAAGACATTTGATATCATTAGAATCCAGGCTGAAAAGATGAGTTTGAAGGTTCTCAAGATGCTTTGTGTGTGTGACTCACTTAAAAAGGGGCCGGGCTTTTATTGCTGGATTGTGGGGGAGAATTTCAATTTTTTTTTTTTTATTATTCCTATGCACATCCCATCGTAATATTTTACTGGAAGCCTTCCATAAGTAAGAAGGAGAGCTGAGAAGTAAGAGCTGAGACATCCCAGTCACCACCTGATGACAGGGTGGTACCCAAAGATGAGGCTCTTTTGAAGTGAGGATCATAAAAAGAAACATTATCTTAGTTAACCTTAGTCTAAGCCCTATTGGGTTTTAAACATGACAACTAGCACTTATATCTTGCCCAGGAAGCTATGAGCAGCTAATGGAAATATTTAAGAACAGAGGTAATATAATCTCCAGAGCTGTTCCAGAGACGAATCTGACCATATTCTGAACTATAACTTCTAACTATATCTTCCAATATTTACAAAGGCAGCCCTAAATAAAGTACATTGCAGTAGTCCAGTCTGCAGGTAATTTTTAGATCATTTTCTTCAGGGAATGGGAAATACCTGCTGTATTAGTCACAGCTAGTAAGCATTCCAGAGCATTCTTAATGTGTATTATCATATTTGTTCTTTTCACAGGAATTTAATTTAATCGACAGAAGAATTTAACTGTTTCCAAATCAAAGCTTCTCATAATGAATACCTCTAACTTTCCTGGATTCAGTTCTCATTTATTATCCATATGTAATGGAATAACAGAGTTGAAAGGGACCATGGAAATGTTCTAATCCAATCTCCTACTTGAGCAGGAAGCCCTATACCATTTCAGATAAATGGTTGTCCAATTTCTTCTTAAAAACCTCCAATGATGGAGCACCCACAACTTCTGGAGGCAAGTCGTTCCATTAATTGTTCTAACTGTCAGGAAATTTCTCCTTAGTTCTAGGTTGCTTCTCTCCTTAATTAGTTTCCATGGCTTCTTGTCCTACCTTCAAGTGCTTTGGAGAATAGATCGACCCCCTCTTCTTTGTGGCAGCCACTTGGATATTGGAACACTGCTATCATATCATATATCATATGATATCATATACACACATTTGAATATTTATAAAATTCACTAAAAATCACTGATAACTCCACTCGCTGTTTCGTGTAAATGTTAAAAAAGCATTGGTACCAGAATTGGACCCTGATAGACTCTTTATAAAAGTTCCTGTTTTGAGGAGCAACTGCTATCTAACAGAACCATCTGAGATGTACCTGAAATAACGCGCAGTATCCCCAACCCACATCTCTTATGCAACCCAAAAAGGATAACATGGCTGATAGTATCAAAACTGCAGAATGACCTAAAAAACCCACAACATTCCCTCTTTCAATCCTATATCAGGCCAATTAAGGCAATCTCACCCTTATAGCTTACTTAAAGCCAATTTGAAATGGGTCCTGCTTCTTCCAAGATTATTTAAAGCTGATTAGCCACTACATTTTCCATCTTTTTTTTTCTCCAACAATGGGCGGTTGGAGATTGGGCTATAACTGACACATCATCAAGGGATCAAAGATGGGCCTCATGAGCAGAATTCAAACCATTGCCGTCTATAAACAAGGAAACATCCTCACTCAGACATCATCTTCCAATATGTCATTTTCAATAATCTCCTTGCATAATGAAATTCTAGGCAAGGATCCAAATTATACGTATTTTGATATGGCATAAGATCGTGGGGCTTTGAGATTGTGAAATGTTAAAATATGTAAGAAAATAGTCATGTTCCACATAGAAGTAAAATGTTCCTTAGGATCTTACAAAGAAAAATAATTATACATGGAAAGAGAAATGCCAAATAAAGAGGCAAAAGGCTAAAATAGTTAACGTAACATTATTATTTTAAAGAAAGCAAAAGAATGCAAATATAGGATGGGAGTTTACCTCACTGATTACAGCAGGAACTTTGACTAGATTGAACCAGTATGTGAACATACTAAGGTTAATGGCTGTGCTAAAATACTTGATAATTCTTTTGAGAAATCTTTATAATTTATTTACATATTTCAAATTTCTAGGCGACATAATTCCAATGATTGTGTGGATTAACATGAATAAAAACCATAAAAAATTGAAATAAGACCTCAAAAGACAGCATCTTCTGAAGAAAACAACTCTCTCTTCCTCACAGAAATAACAATGACAAAAGCATCCCCTCCCATCAACCTAAGTCAAGGCCTATGGAAAGAATTATTGGGATGAAGCATGCACAAAAGGAGCAAAACTTGCAGGATATAGCACAGTGTGAATGTGGTGATTTTTTTCTACCCACACTGCCTTGAAAATGACTACTGCAACCAAAAATGGAGGTCAAACCAGATGACCTGCAGATGACACTGCTTTGCCACTAAAAGTAACAATTAGAAATGTAGATAATAAAAGTAAAAAATGGAATGTGACAAATTTGGATCATTATATAATTTTAGGAAGATGAAGGTTATGTTAGTCTGTGTGCTGTGTGCAGTCAGTTAGCAAAAAAGTAACTAGGGTACTTTTGCTTTCTTAGGCTAAAGAGCAGATAAAAATGAACAGTATGTGGAAAAGTAAAGAAGAGGGGGAAAAACTGTCAATAAACTCGGAGAAACTTATTAAAATAAGGACATTTCAAGAACATAAATCAGAATAGAAGCATTAGTCTTCCAAATGGTAATATAAGGTTACTAGACAACCCATGGCCTTTTGAGTCGTTGTCCCAGAGATATTCCTACCGAAATAGGGAAACAAAATGACTATGGGAGGGTTAAAAAGCAGTGCGAGTGGGATCAACTTCTGACTGCCTGCCAGCTTCCCCATTGAGTTTGCTCATGGAAAATTGGCAGGGAGCACCAAAAGTCTTCCCTTTGAGAGAGATTTCACATGAGTCATGGAGAGCACATGGGTGAGCTGTGTGGGTCACAAAGTGTGTACAGGAATGCATGATCAGTGCCACACAGGTGAGAAGGAGTGCACATGGGGGCGACATGGGTCGAGAAGGTGCATGGGGGTTGCAGGGCTGTGGATGAGGTGCTGCGAATGTCAGGGGAGGCATATGGGGAAATGGCACAGGTCACAAAGAGTGCATGGGGTGTGCCATTTTGCGTGGATTGGGGAAGGCCTGCTGGGGGTCAAATGGGTTGGGGAAGGTACATGGGCATGTGCAAGAGGTGCCGCATAGCTCAGAGAAGATCCATGGGGTGGGCAGCATGGGTTGAGAGGAGCAGTATGGGCCAGGCAGGATGTGCAGAGGTTCCTCCCTCCCTTCCTTCCTATTCCTCCCTCTTTCCCTTTTCTCCACCTTCCCCCTTCCCCTTTCCTTCTCAGCGGGCAGGTAAGTGGCTGCTGCTAGGTGGTGGAGAAAGTGAGGGATTGCAGGAATGGCGGGAAAACTTTCACAGAATGTTGAAAATGAGGATCACATGACCACATTAGTAGCCCAGCAGCCCTGACACAGCCACAATTTTTCCGAATTTCATTCCCTCAGGAGTCATGGGTCCTGGACTTTGAACGCTTTCTATAAGTTACCCTAGCTCATTTGAGGTACCTTGGTTCAAAAATTGTTGTACTGTTTTGCCGAGTTAAAAATTATAGAAACGGGAGTTTTAGTAATGTACTAGACAAGTCGTGACCTGCTGGGTCATTGTTTCAGAAGTATTTCCTTACCAGATTGAACCTTCTGCGTTCAATTCATGGAGATATTCAGAGATGCGTCTGCCTTGAAAGCATATACAAGTTGAACTGTATAGCATAATCAAATGTCAGGAGCTGACTATAGAAAATGTTTTATGACATTTTGTGTTATGTCATAAATGCTTTATGATAATTTTATACCCTAAAATGTTTTATAAAATTTGCCAAATTTTATTCCCTCAGGAGTCATTGGTCCCAGTTTTGAATGCATTTTGTAGGTTAGCCCATTTCAGGTACCTTGGTTCAAAATTGTTGCCTTATAATGCACTGTTTCACCCAGTTAAAAGTTATGGGAACAAGAGTTTTAGTGACAGCATAGAATAGATGATAGATAGATAGATAGATAGATAGATAGATAGATGGATGGATGGATGGATGGATGGATGGATGGATGGATGGATGGATGGATGGATGGATGGATGGACGGACAGACAGATGAATAAACACCTTTAAATTATGGTTTTCTCACCTGTATCAGGATCAGTGGTATGCATGGGGGGAGGGGGAACAGAGGGGTCAGAATAAACCATGCAGTATTATGACATTGTGATACAAACACTGCCCTTTGAGTTATGACATTCACTGCATGCCTACCTGAAAGTAGCAGGGTGTTGTGTAATGTTGCTTTCATCATTCTAACAAAAGCGAGAGAGCTGGCAGTTGTTGATGATTAGGACTTCAGTAAAAAAACAATCAATTATTCGTGGCCCAAATAAAAGGAGATAATTCTCTGGGGATGATAGTAAGTGGAAACTCCTCTAATTTAGTCATGAGATGAGAACAGACAATGGATTAGAGAAAAAAAACATGATGCTTTTCAAAGTTGAGGAAAATAAAGGAAAAAACAGTTAAACGAAAGATGAACTGGATTAATGAGATTGTTGAAATGTCCTTGGAAAAATTACAAATTATTACTAAAGACTGATCATGAGAGCAACTATTTATCTATACAATCACTAGAGTCAAACCTGACTTAATGGTATTGAATTAACTAAAACAAGTTTGGGAGAAGCAGTGCAGGTACAGCTCCAAACTGAGAATTCAATGCTTAGTGGGCCAACAAATGACCACCAAGAGCAACAAATGATCTTAGCAACTTTAATAGAGTTGCATTAGCATTGAAGGATGAATAGAGCCATAGATAGGTTGTGATGTCCATGGCTAAGAGGGGCATATTGTGCTCTCTACAACTTCCCTTCTTTCTTCATATATTAAAACAATGTTTATGCTAAGCTAGCCAATCTGTTATATGAGACTTATTTAATTTCAGTACTTTTATTCAAAGTCTATATTAACCTTATTGTGTTTGTTTCCACATATGTCTTGAACCTCAGGATAGCAGAAGGAAATCCTTTTTTATTTTTGTAGTCATTAGGATGCCATAACATGTGAGTCTCAAAGCAACCTTGCACATCTTTAGAGTACTTCTTTTTGATATATTTAATATGTAAAATAATTGGGGAAGAATGGAGAATATATGATTTAAACCTGTAGGTTAAAGATGCTGAGCTTGTCAGCTGGAGAGCTGACAGCCCAGGTTTAAGACCCGAGCTATGTACAACGGGATGAGCGCCCGTTCCTGCTCCAGGTCCTGCCCTCCTAGCTGTTCGAAAGCATGCAAATTCAAGTAGATTATTAGGTACCACTTCAGTGGAAGGTAACAGCATTCTGTGGCCTTTGGTATATAGCCATGCTGGCCATATGATTACAGACATTGTCTTTGGACAATGCTGGCTCGCTCGGCACCATGCTCTAGAGCAGCGGTTCTCAACCTATGGGTCGCGACCCCATTTGGGGTCGAACGACCATTTTACGGGGGTCGCCAAACAACGCGATCCGCCATTTTTCCCCCTCGGGGTGCCGCCGCGCATGGGGGTGCCGCTGCGCATGCGCACCGCGCCTGTGTGACGGGGGTCGCCGTCACACAAAGGGTAAGAACTGCTGCTCTAGAGTCAGATACAACTCGATGGGAAACCTTTACCTTTAGTGGATATCTAAG